GAAGGCCGACTTTGGAGGCGGAGTCTGGAGGCGGAGTCACTGGAAAAAGGGATGTACCACTGAAGCAACTTTGCGCCTTAATCCCTTTACCGTACAACTTTCCGCCGCGAAAACTGGCACAGGGTTGTCCACTCCGGACCGCACTACCTTCCCACATAACCTCTTGCATTTTCATAGGTCTTCGTGGACCGCTCCTTTAAGTCGCAAAACATTTCAGATCATCGTCACGTCTGAGCTGCAAAGCTCTTTTCATGAACACGTGAAAAGGTTTCATTGTAACTTTCGATTTTATGGCAGCTGAAGAAATGTGTTGCAGGAGTTGCTACGGGCTAAGCATGTTATCAACGAAGTTCCATGGTTCACCGATGCACGTGGACTCGTAATGGCATCAGGAGCAGTGATCTATTCATTCGAAGGACAAGCACTCGTGAGTGAATCGCCTTAGGTACGGCAGTAATAGTTACGTCCTCTGTTCAACAATTCACCGCACCAACGTTCCAGAGAAAAACCTTCCTACTCACTAATCTGTCATAATGTATAGCCACGATCCCTGCAAGCGATAGGGCGTGTGACGCGCCGTATATTGGAGCACAGCCACAGCGGCCTTTGTCCACTAATAATTACATCCTGGTTCCGATGAAATTGCTGTAGAATCCGCCCTGGTTGTGCTTCAAGTCACCGTCACACTCCCTACCGCTTTGTAGGATCATACACACCTTGCACAAGCTGTGTGTAACACGTCGCACGTGTGTTAAAGGCACGGTCCACGATAAGGAGTGTATGGAATTGTGTTGAAATATGGGAGAGAAGTTGTCACGCGGCTCGCCTGTGAAGAGAACTCCAGAGGAACCTTTGAAAGGATCTCTCCGGCCTCAAACAATTGTGCGGGAAAAAGGTCAAAAGGCCAGCGTGCAGGGGCAGCTACAGTTTTGGTTACTTGCAGTATCCCTATTACCCCCCACAAGGAGACTATGGAGCATCAGTTTCGTGCTGCCCTTCCAGTGCCGCTTTTGGTCGGAAGGCGGTCAGTCGAGAGGCGGATTCACTGGAAAAATGAGGTGTCACTAAAGAAACTTTGCTCCTGAACACCTTTACCTACAATTTTTCACCGCGAAACTGGCACAGGATTGTCCGTTGTGAACCACAGTACCATTCCCACGCAATCGCTTGCATCTTAATTGGTCATCGCCTACCGCTCCTTTGGCTTCTACGGTTGGCGTGTGACGCACCTTACCAGGGAAGTCCACCAACTTACCATGGAACTTTGAATGGAGACCTGGGTAGATCGATAGAGTCTATAAGGTTATTTACAAATATAGATAGCAAAACTGCAACCTGCATTTCACAAGCAACTTATGAGCAGGTAAAGTTTGTAATGGTGCAGTAGGGTGGAGGCTTGGTGGTGAGCTGTGAAGCATAAGCGAGGAATCGCATACGAATCGAGTCGTCGAACGTCGAACCTTACCACTGAACCACCACGACTCGATTCGACGTATGCGATTCCTCGCTTATGCTTCACAGCTCACCACCAAGCCTCCACCCTACTGCACCATTAC